TAAGTAGATTTAATCTGCTTTCCATCCATCTTGCTCTGGCAAATGTACCATGACCTCAAAGTCCCTGATACTGGGTCCACAGGGCATGAACTGGGCATCAGATCACTACTTGGATATGTGAGACACTGTTTTTCTAAAGTGGGATCCACAGAGCACAGGAACTGGCTTCCTGATCTTTAGAAAACCCCAGTAGCACAATCTTGAGGACTGTGCCTCCCTGCACTGAAGGTCTATCAACCACGCCAGCAGACCACGCAAATGCTGGTGCTGTTAAAAGCACCTTAGATTCTGAACTGCTGACCTGGACAGGGAATAAGATTCATCTCCCTTGAAACCAGGACTTTGCATAGCATCCATACTAGATGCTACTTTCCCAGAAGTGAACAGCTGTACAAGATTGGGAGAGGCTTTAAGGTCGACAGGATGCATCTATGTAAGCAGTGAGTAGTGCTGGGGAGAGACCTTGAAGGACTTCCTAGAGGATGGACTACTACAGTCAGTCCTGAATAGAACAACACCGTTCCCCTAGAGGCTTAATATGCATTAAACCAAAATTCAAACCAGGGACCAAGAGCCAGGAACTTGTGTTAGTGGGTCAACAGGTCCTAGAATTCTGTTATAAAGCTTGGGTTCGTTTCTACATGGTGGGTTTCTGAAGAATTTAAAGCTGAAGTTCTGTGACTATCCTCCACATGCTAGAGCAATCATCCCTGTGGCTGGGGACTGTGGAAGATACGTATGATAAAGTAAGGGGACAGCCAGGAACCAGAGAAGGCTGTGTACCAGTGCAGCAGAGATGAGGGTGACTGGAGTCTTACAGGAACACATAGACCTGCTGGCTTCAGTCAATGAACTATGTATGGTTAACCTCTTTGTATGAAGTTTAGAATTTCTGAGATTTACTCGTAACCTCAGATTCTCGTGTAGAAGCCGATAGCTATAAAACAACGAAGAATGCATGCTCCCTCCAAACAATTCAGTCTCAAAGGGAAGATGGTCTCCTTTCCATATCTGATCAAATCAGTCCGTGAGAGCAGAGAGCACGCAGGTGTGTTGACTAATCTCCCTGCACACAAAAGGAAACACCAGAAGTGGCAAAGCAACATTCCTCCCTTTCTTCTCTTTGTGCTTTTAACCTGCTGGTCAAATTCCAAGTCTAAAAATTCATTCAATTTCTCAAGCCGGGTTATGCCCAGCTAGCTCCTGATTTAAGCTGGCATATGTGAGGACTTGGAACCGTTAATAATGATAATAAATCTCCAACCTAAACACGTCTCTCACTATCAAGTTTGTAAGGAAAATTAAAAAGTTGAATATTTAAAAGCAAAACCCAAAAATGTTAAATTTAACAAAATAAAAAAAAATCTGTCATTGCCTTTCCTCAGTGAGTTAAAAATCCAACATTCTGCCTGGTATAGTGGCTTGAGCCTTTAATCTCAGCACTCTGGAGGCAAAGGCAGGCAGATCTCTTTGAGTTCAAAGCCAACCTTGTCTACATAGAATGTTCCAGGGCTAAATAGTGAGTCCTTGTCCATCCCAATCCCAATAAAAAGAAAATAAAGGAGGCTAATGGCCCTAAATAATATTCCTTGAATTCTTATTGTTTTAGCTTAACCAAAAATACTTTTATATCTATCTATCTATCTATCTATCTATCTATCTATCTATCTATGTATCCATCCATTTGTTTATTTAACCAGTTATTGTATACATGGGTTTGAGTGTGGAGGACAGACGACAACTTACAAAAATTGGTTCTTTCCTTCTTACCACGTGGGTGGGTCCCAAGGATAAGATTCAGGTCAGGTTTACCAGCCAGTGCCTCTGGCCACTGAGCCATCTTGCCAAGAGGCTTTAATGTTCAGAAAGAGTCCCAGGCTGAGTGGCACTCACAGAAATGGTTATTTAGTCTCATTAAGTTACAGATCTCATATCATCCTAAGTTTTAAAACTGAGATAAAATCTGGGTATCAAAATCACCTGAGTACAGAGTTTTCGTACATCTGCCAAGTTGTACAGACGGTCATCACTCCATGTTTGCACCACCCAAAGAGAAGCATTGTACCCTTTAAAAGTCACTTTCTTTCCTCTACCCAGCCCCGGCAACCCAACTACTCTTTACCTGCTCTGGAAACTTCACACAGATGAGATCAGTTTCTAAAGATGAGTTGGTACTTGTTAGTACTTCATCCTTTTTACGGCTGCTGACGGTATGGATGCAGGTTGTTCACACGGAGGTGAGGGGGGTTATAATTCATGCTGCTATGAACAGTCATGTAGCTGGATTGTCAGCTAGTTCTGCTGAAGGTGTAGCCCAGCAGTGGGACTGCTATGGCATGCACTCACTACTTAACTCTGTTTCCCAAGTGGCTACATCTTTACCCCAGTAATCACTAGAATCCAATTTATACCATTTCAACATTTTTTGCTTCTCTGTCTTCTGACTACCAAGGTCCAACTACCAACAGATTAAAGTTCAGCAATCAAAAGCCCGCTTTGGGTCACATAATTAACATGCCCAATTTAAAAATTTAAAAATCCCTCATCTGAACAATGTTTTCCCCTCATGCTTTTGCATACCATTTTTCTATATGCCACGTCTGTCTCTCTATTGAGACACTCCTTTGCCTCCCTCTGGGACAAATGCCACTTCCCCTCTCCTTTGCTCCCTTCCGCTCTTCCATCCATTTTTCTGTCTTCCTCCATCTCCTATCTTTGTCCCTTTGGGACATCATTGCTCTCTCCTTCCTGGCTGTGGCTACTGAGTGACCAGCTGCCATGTCTTGCTGACACCTGGCCCTGGAACTACAAGGGAAAGCAACCCCTTCTTTCCTTACGTTGCTTTTGTCAAGTATTTTGTTGCAGCAACAAGAAGAGTAAAATAATCTCACAAAAGTTTTGCCAATTTTTTAAGACACAGAGGCAAAAGCTTGATATAAACATTTTTAATTTTTTAAAGATTTATTTGTTTATGCTTGAGTGCTCTGTCTGCGTGTACACCTGCATGCCAGAAAAGAATATCAGATCCCTTTGACAGACGGCCATGAGCCATCCTGTGGTTGCTGGGAATTGAACTCAGAACCTGAGTGAACAGCCAGTATTCTTAACCACTGAGCCATCTCACCAGCCCTGCTTCCTATAAATTTAATGTGGTAGTATCTGCCTGTAATCCTAGAGCTAGGACACTGAGGCAGGATTGCCAAGTTCAAGGCCAGCCTGGAAGATATGGCAAGACTCTGTCTCCAAAAAGGACTGGAATGAGAAGGCTTCAAATAACTCATAAAATACGAGTATGTCCAAAGTTTTTAAAAGTTTTTTTTGTTTGTTTGGTTTTTTTGTTTTTGAGACAGGGTTTCTCTGTGTAGCCCTGGCTGTCCTGGAACTCACTCTGTAAACCAGGCTGGCTTCGAACTCAGAAATCTGCCTGCTTCCGCTGGGATTAAAGGTGTGAGCCACCACTGCCCGGCTTTTAAAAGTTTTTAAATCAGGTGTTGCTTAACACATGGAATCAAAAATTACAGCACAGTTGAATGTTATAAAGGTGTAAGGGGACTGAAAAAAAAACAGGCAAAAGTAGCATGAAATAAGCTTTCAGTTGGCAATATGACAAATATGTGCTCTACGAATTTACTCTAGGAAAAGAATTATAAAATTTATTAAAATTACTATAGTCAATAACCATAGGTGAAATAATTTTTAATAAAACACTTTATAAAACTTTATAGGTATTACTGCTGAAATATTTGACACAGAAAAATACTCATTTAACCTTCTTTAAAACTGTACTTATCATGGAGTCTAAAATTTAGGATAAGCAAATTTTTGTTTAAATGCACACACTCAAAGAGCCTTTGACAGGAGCAGGTGCAATGGCTTGGCAGGGAAAGGCACTTGCTGCCCAGCCTGAAGGGCTAAATTCAATATGCAGGACCCACACGACAGAAGAGAAAGGAATGACTCCTGCAAGTTGTCCTCTGACCTCCATGTGTGCTCCATGGCACTCACACACCCAAAGGGCACACTCACACCCAGAGTAAGTAAACGCTTCTTGTTGTTGCCGTTGGTTTAAGTGCAGGAAAAGATGGAGCTGGAGAGATGGCCCAGCACTTACAAGTGCTTGTTGCTCTCACACATGACCCCAGTTCATTCCCAGCATCCACATAAGGTTCACAC